AGGCAACAGCCGCTTTAGAGTAATGATACAAATGTTGTTTTGCATAGCATTTGACTTTGCTGTACCATCATACACTGTAGACTCAAGGAGAAAAAATATAAATGCCAAATGCTAAAATCATTCATTGACTGGAGTCCTAAAATGAGATAAATAAAAATTGGAAAGGGGTATATTTTGTACAAACTCGAGGCATTTTCCTGACATGCAATGATTTCCAATGGGCTAAAAAAACACTATCGGACTAAGTGGCATTGATTGAGTCAGGAGGATGGGTGATTGCAGAGTTTAAACCGCCTCTTGTCTCACGGGTTCCCTGTTGAGATACGTTGCCCAGTACACCAGGTTAAAGGTCCCAAACAGCACCGGGAACACTATTCTGGACATCTTGTCGATCTTGCTCACACTGTTGTAAGTCTTTTTGGGGTCCGGGGCCTTGGTTTCAGTGGGTTTGAGTTGTACCGCAGTGCTGTTTGAAATAGTGGAGATGGACGAGTCCTTTGTGAGGTTGGTTGTGTAATTCAAGCCGGACGAGCAGGAGTTGTTGGGCTTTTTAGACAGAGCCAAAGGGTCCTTCTTCTGTGGGGAGAAATACATGCATTGATTGGTGCTGCACATTCAACAGACACAATACAACAGGTGGTTAATAACACACAAAGAGAAGAATCAAAGATGGCCAGTGAGGGTTGAAAGTGGGGATCGATGTCTGCGGGCAGTAATGGACTGGCTGAATCTATTGATCCACCATTTATAAGCTTCTACTTCAGGGGTGTCAAACTCAAGGCCTGGGGGCCAAATCCGTCATTTTATGTGGCCCCACAAGAGCTTGCAAAGAATATAATATGTTTATTATACGGTTACATGCCGCTTTACAGAAGCACGTTGCCCATAAACTACATGTCCCACAATGCATCTCAAATTTGACTTTTTTTCTTCAAAATATTCTTTTTTTCTCAGAATCTGCATTTCTTTTAAAATGTTACTTTTTTTCAAAATTTAATTTATTTTTTTTTCTTTTGACTTTTTTTCCAGAATTTGGCTTTTCTTTTAAAATCATTTTGTGACATTCTCACTGAAGAGACTTGCAATTATTTGCCCTAGACTTCTGCTTTCAGACGTAGTTAATTATGAAGTTATTACCCTATCCGATAATAATCCAATGCAGAGGCAATAATGTAATATAATACATTATTTTATAAAAATGTATATATGTATTTTTATGTAGTCTTATATATAAAACTGGCCCTTTGAGTGCAACCATGATGCTAATGTGGCCCGAGATGAAATTGAGTTTGACACCCCTGTTCTACTGATTCAACTCTTACTTTATTATGAACTCCTTTCTTCCCTTTCCACACTACTGCTCTTGAAGTATCCGAGAAGAGAGAATGAAAAGATGGAAAAGGGAGTCGATCTTTGACTAAACCCACAGTAAGGTTTGAAAGCTGCTTTAAAAACAGCAATCCCTGTAACATAAGCTTTTGTCTGTGGTTGTTGTCTCTATTAATTACAAATTCTTGAAATGACCAATGTTGAAGATCTCCTTAGATAATAATGTGGTGACTTTCAACAACAGACATAAATCATTACTTTGCAAGTTTATCCTGATTTCTAGGTATTCTTGGCATCTATTATGAACCAAGGGACTTTACTGAGACTGAGAAATATTCATAAACGGCAATAATAAAACTAAACAAAGTAATTTAATATTAGAAACTATTATAATATTAAAACATACAAACCTTGGGCTGTTGGGCCTCCATTGCTTTCTTCCCGTCCCAGGCCCAGCTCCTTTTGGTGAAGTAGTTCACGGTGGCAAACTCGATGAGGGCGGAGAACACGAAGGCGTAGCACACGGCGATGAACCAGTCCATGGCGGTGGCGTAGGCGACTTTAGGAAGAGAGTTTCGAGCGCTGATGCTCAGAGTGGTCATGGTGAGCACCGTGGTCACACCTGGGGGGGGAAACTGCGTCATTAGGACTAACCGGAAATACTACTATACAACTTTTATTTACATGGATTTAGTTGTAGGGAAAGGAGGGGGCATTTATTTATAGACAAATCATGCAGGAGCAACAGCAAGTTCTTTCATATAATGGTCACCTATTAAAATCCACTTTTTCATGTCTTTTCTACATCAACATGTGTCCCCTCTGTGTAAAGAGATTCTGAAAGTTTCAGGAAAAAAGATTCTCTCTCTTTTTGTCCTGATCCATTTATATAAAAACCTGTCTGAAAATGAGCTGATCAGATTTTGGCCACTTTATGATGTCATAACGATGTGTTGTCTTGTGTAACCATTAGCCAATCACCAACCAAGGTAACCCCCCCCCCCCCCCCCCACCTTATCACCTGAATCTCCTCCTAGAGCACCATTGTGTTCTTTTTAACCAAATATCTCTCAGAGGGGCGTGGGGAGTGGCTCCTTATTTTTCATCTAAAGTAACAGACAGACAATCAGCACTTTGGAAACAGGGCTGAAACAGAGGGGATTATGGGATGCTGCAATGATCTGTTTGGTGTTTGGAGCCAAACACTTCAGAGACATGTTTTGTATATATCTGAGACCTATAATATATTGATGAAAAACAGTATAATAGGCGACCTTTAAATGTTTAGAAATGTAATCATTTCACAGGTCAATTCTAAGAAGATAACCTCAGTTTTATGTTTTGCACTAATTGATTGTTTAAATGGGTTATTTATAATTTCATTTTACTCGCTGATGTGTGTGTGAGCTCACCAAACACTGTCCTCGCCGGCACTGACTCCCTGTTGAGCCAGAAGGAAACCTGGGACAGGATGACGGTCATGAAGCACGGCATGTAGGTCTGGATGACGAAGTATCCGATCTTCCTCTTCAGGTAGAAGTGAGCCATCATCACCGTGTACTGACCTGAAGCACACAGCCGCACAAAAAGAGGAGGGAAAATGTCATTTTTTATTTTTTTTGGGGTAATGCAATCCCTACTTTGACAACGAAGGAAGTGTATACTAAACAGAATCGGAATATTTTAAATTTCAGGAGGTAAAATTGTGTTAAAAAAAAAATAATAATTAATTAATTAAGGAAGAATTTGCAATTCAAATATAAAAGTAAAATAAAGCAATTTAACATTTTGGTTTTGGAAAAACATAATCCTTATTCTGGATAATGAAGAAGGTATATAATAGTCAGAATCATAATACTTGCAGCGGGGAAATAAAATAATAATACATACAAATAAATTAAATAATTAAATACATATATAAATAAATAAACTAAATTTTAACTAAAATTATAATAAGAATAATAGTAATAATCATGAATAAGAAATAATAGTCGTGTATTAGCATTAATAACATATTTAAACTAAAGTAAAAGCTTTGCAATAAATGTACAGACTGAGAGCTATTAACAGACTCCAGCTGTAATTATCTTTCACCTTAATTACAATGAACACAGCACCGTTTATTTCCAGTCAATCCCACACACACCGTCCTGCTAATCCCAATCCCAAAATAGTCCCGAACAAATGCACGCTACGCCTGTCCGAGCAATGTGCTGGAAACTACAGTGCGGTGGATTTAGGAAATTACAAGGATATAAAGTATTAAGAGAGGGACTAACACACTTTTGGTTTTTATCTTTTCATGGGATTTATTGACAATAACAAAAAAAGTAATATCAGCAGCTTTATCCTAAAACCCTGGTTTTCTGCAGCTGTCACATTTTTCTCGCTGTGGCCTCGTTTGTCACTGCAAGACAAAAAGTGCTGCACAAATGATGGATAGAAGTGAGAACAAAAATATGTCTTTTGTGCGGTATTACACAATTATAAAGACACAAGTAATTAAAAAAGAACAAGACGCAAGTATTTCATCGATACGTTTCACTATAAATAAAAGTATTACCTGTAAGAAAAAGGCAATTAAAGTATCAAGGTTTCATATCAGTATGTAGTGTCTCTACTGTGACATGTCTCCATGCTTTAATGTTCAAAAAGCTCTTTATTTGTTCTCATACTGTCTGTACTGCAGCACCTCTTTTCACCCTCTGTCTGAAACCAGAGCCCAGTCTGCTCTGATTGGTCAACCGCTTAGAGATGTCCCGCCCCTTAGCCTAGCAGGTTCAATGTGAGTGTTACATAGTGATGTCACTATGTTCAGGAAGTAAATAAAGGAGTTTAATGGAGGTGTTTCAGGCAGGGGGGGAGTGTGTGGGTGAGAAACTCCCTCAGGAGGGAACACAGGGATTTTAGCCTTTGCAGACCATTTACATGCACCAAAACCTATATAACACACTACAGGAAAGGGAAAACCACAAAAAGCAGAACCTCCTTTAACCTATTTCTTGATGTACTTTAGAGAGGGATTCCTCTCTCTTTATGTTCATGAATGTTTTGGTGCTGTCATTCATTTTCTCTTATCAGTTGATGGGCTTCACAATTAAATTTACAGGCAATAAATACTCCTCGAAGCGTGAAAAACTGGTTTGTGTGTGTGTGTGTGTGGGGGGGGGGGGAATCATCATATCCTGTCAATCAACGGAAGATTGCATTTGAAGGATTCTCAAAAATCCTGTCGAGCCTGATAGAAAATCCACAGATGACTGCCGCTTTCTCCTGGCAAAATCGGATTTTTCTCTCCCACTAATCCCCTGTCACAATCTGCATCCTGTATATCTCCCTCGCCCTGCCTCTCTCCCTCTATGTGTGAGTGTGAGTGTGTGTGTGTGTGTGTGCGTGCGTGTGTGTGTGTGTGTGCAGCAGACAGACGTCCCATCCTGTCAGGCCGGCTCTTGATTGAGGACGTAGATCCAGAGCAGTACCGGGATCAGCGGTGATTACAGGTGCACAGATGACTGAGTCAGAGGGGGGTTGAGAGGGGACTCTGGTGGAGAACAAAGTTTGGATGTGCAATGCGGTGGCTTTGATCATGTCCTTAAATATAAAAGCACCTGTGCTGCCTTCGCTCCGAGGACTCCCGGCCACGTGGATGGATATCTGCAAGGTGTGAAAAGATGCGGCTGTGGTGGATTTTACTCTTTGCTTTCTGGAGTGTCTGCGGGGAACTGCCATTCATAGCGGAGAACAACGCGGCTATGTTGGTCAACTGGTAAGCACTGTCAACTTCAAAATCTGCTGATGTCAACTTCAAAACTGTGGCAGTGCAAATAAATAATGAGATAGGAAACCAATGCACATAAACACATATTTGTATCATCCTTAGATCTTTTAAAATATGCAAGTATGGTGTCCTCCTAGACACAAAGTCAGCAACAGACACTCACAGGTGATAAAACATCTTCTAGTGCCTGTTGCAAAAAATAAAAATAAAATTCCTCCATACAGTATGTTGTCGTAAAGCCACCGTGCAATGAGTTCATTATCCTTCTCTCTTCCTACATTTGTACCTGCTGCTGTCAAAAGAAATAATGAGATACACAGAAACACATGTTTTAATCTTTTGAAACTTGCAAGTATGAAACAGACGCAGAAGTCAGCAACAGGTCGTAAAACATCCTCTAAATAAAACCCGAGATAATATACTCAGCGCTGAAATTCCTCCATATGTTTCTGTAAAAGCCACCTTGCACATTAGTTAATCCTGCTTCTCTCTTCCTGCTGTAAGGAAAAAACACTTTATCCTTATTACCGAAACATTTTAAAGCTTTGAAATCTGGTGCTGTCTAGAGAAAGGACAAGACTGGAATCCAATGCACAGAAACATTGATTCATCCTTCTAAGATCTTTTCAAATCGCGCAAGTATGGTGTCCTCCTAGGCTCAGAAGTCAGCAACAGATCACAAAACATCCTCTAAATAAACCCAAGATAATACACTCAGGGGAGAAATCGCTCCACATGTTGTCATGAAAGCCACCTCACCAATGAGTTAATCTTCCTTCATCCTAATAATCAAAACATTTGTAACACTCTTAGCATCTGTTATCTCCAACAACTCGGCTATGTTGGTCAACTGGTTAGTTTAAAGATCTGCTGTCCAAAGAAATAATGACATGCTCAGAAACACGTGTTTAATCCTCCTAAGATCTTTTAAAACATGCAAGTATGGTGTCCTCCTCGGCTCAGAAGTCAGCAACAGGTCATAAAACATCCTCTTGTGCCCGCTATTTGAAATCAAATCAAATGTAGTACACTCAGTGGAGTAATTCCTCCATATGTTGCCGTAAAAACCACCTTGCAAATGTGTTAATCTTCCTTCATCTTGATGAGCAAAATATTTGTATCACTCTTAACATCTGTTATCTCGAACAACGTACACAGAACAATTAATTTTGATCCTCCTAAGATATTTTAAAAAGTGCAAGTATGGTGTCCGCCTAGGCGCAGAACTCAGCAACAGGTCATAAAACATCCTTTAGTGTCCGATATATACAAATAAAACCAGAGATAGTTTACTAAGCGGACAAATTCCTTCATATTTGTACATAAAGGTGGAGACATTCCTTCATATTTATTCATTAAAGCCACCTTGCAATTAGTTAATCTTCCTTCTATCTTCCTCCAGTAAGAAAACACTTCATGCTACAGTAATAACCAAGACCTTTCTTTCTACCATCACTCTATTGTCTCAAATGTCACATTGCTTTAGGTATATTTCACAAGGATTACACAGTGTTTCCAGTACTACAGCTACAGATCACATCCATCTGTTGAGCTTTGACAGATGAAACTACAACGTTTGCTTGTCATTGATTTTCACGGCTGTGTCTATATTCATCCTGTCAGGCTTAACCTATGAGGTCAAAGGTCTCCTCTGCCACAGTGTGAACTTTGCGGAGCTATTCTCGGCTTTTTAAAGAGGGTTTGTGGCTCAGATTAGCTAATTGAGACCCATGCTGGCTCTGTGTGTCTGAGAGGGGGGTTTGTTGCACACAGAAAAGTAAAGCAACCTGACAGATAATCTGAACTGCTTCATGTTGTGCATACTTAGTGGCAGTTGTGAAAGAATAACTCAGACTTTTTACTTAAAGGTGGGGTAGGTAATTTTGGAGAAACCGCTAGAATTTGAAAATACACAGCCGGAACAAATCTGCCACTTCCTTACAGAGCCCCTCCTCCAACACACACGAACGCGCACATGACCAATGAGGGCACGAGATAAGTTTGTGCACAGATGGAAGGCTGACAGGCAGGTAGGCCATCCAGTTATTTTAGCCGGGCCGGCTCAGATGATTGGTCGTGCTTTTTACAGTACTACGGCTTCCACAGATGACATTTTTTCATGGATTTTTTGTCAAAGCACTTGAGATATTCATTGCTATCGGGATGTTAAGAGCATTCCATGGAATATAACAAAAAGTGTATCTCGAGCCGGTTTCTCAAACTTACCTACCCCACCTTTAAGTTAACAATGGAAATACGAAATTATAACCATACTTGTTGCCCTATTTGGAAATGGAAAACAACAAGAGTTATAAAATAAATGTAATTTAGTGGAGTAGAAGTATAAAGTATCTCTTCGAATTTAAAGAGGACATATTCTGCCCATGTTTAGGTTCATATATGTATTTAGTGTCTCTACTGGGACATGTCTCCGTGCTTTAATGTTCAAAAAGCTCTTTATTTTTCTCATACTGCCTGTGCTGCAGCACCTCTTTTCACCCTCTGTCTGAAACCAGAGCCCAGTCTGCTCTGATTGGTTAGCTGGCCAGCTCTGTTATGATTGGTCAACCGCTTAGAGATGTCCTGCACCCTTAGGCCCCGTCCACACGGAGACAAAACCGATTTCGAACCGAAGTCGATTTCAAAAAAGTCTTCCGTCCACACGGAATCGGCTCAAGAAATGTGTCCGTCCAAACGAAACCGCTGGAGACGCTGTAGTACATATGCCGGGCCTGTAAGTGGCGCTGTACTTCCGCCACAAAATACTAATTTTAACTATTTATGTCAACGTTTATTCATTAGTGTATTTATAGTTTGTGTTATCTTATAGATAAGAAGCAAGCAAAGCTGTTAGATAATTGTGGAAAAAGTTCAATATTGGCTTGCAAAATGCAGTTAAGTAGACATAAAAACAGCATTAAACAATTTTAAAGTACTAAAGTAAATGTACTATTAACCATTACTTAGCCGTACATGTTCCTGTACATTATGACCCCCCCCCCCTCCACTTTGTGTACATTACAGCTCTAGAAATGCCTCCCGCTGATAAACTCTCCAGCAACAAGCGGCAGAAAATGTATTATCATACTTCTTTATATAACACAATCCAGCAGATGCCTCCCCCCCACCTCCCTTGACGATGCCCCCCCCTCCTCCACGTGTCACCACTCATCAGCCAATCACAGAGCTTGACGTCACTCAGTAAAAGCACAACTGATGGGCCTACGTACAGATTAACCCTGCAGACCCGGGGGCTCAGACCGAGGATAAGTGATTTTTTTTGCCCCCCCCCTCCGCCCTAGAGACAGCTGGCTATGTGTGGGAGGCTCTCTCAAATCCTTCATTCATTGTCTCTATCCAACTTGATTTAAAAATATATATATATATATTCTTCTCACAACATCTTTGGGTGGCAGGGTGGAGGCTGGGGGGGTTAATAACTGGTTTGAGGGGGGAGATAATGATAAATAAAAAAGATAACACCAGGGGTCTAACTAACAGAAATATTATCACTTGATTTTTTCATGATTTATGGCGATGTAGCCACATGAATTCGGACTAAGGTAAACGTCTTCCTAAAGCTATTTTAGACCAAGAACCGCTTACCCCCAAAAAATAGAACCCACCCAACACAATATGACCATGCTATAGTTAAACCCCACGGACCCGCCGAAGGGTCCGAAAATGCTACATCTGCTAGCACCAGTGCGATCTCTGAAGTGTCATTTATGAAACTATTAATGTTCCACACCCAGCTGACGGGAAGAAACTCAGCTAACGAAAAAAATAATAATAATAATTCCCACAAGAAGCCTTTCAATGAGCCCTTAGCAAATACGGACTAATGCTATTTCTGCTCATAACTCACAAAAATTATCATTTATAATTATACTTTCTGCACAAACAACACATCATCTGAAAGCTGAGATTCCACAGATTCCATGGGTATACACCCCATCACTGCAGGCAAGAATTCACTGAGCTAGCAGCCAGAACATAGCAAATAAACAACATCAGTTTTCAAATCCATGACAATAATTAGCAGGTTAAATTTTACAATAATTTTTTTTTTTTTGATGGAATGAATAACTATAGTGATGATTCAATGTTATAAAATGATTTTTACAGTCTGGTACCTGAAAAAGGTCAAATGGCACTGATGGAACCAGATGTGCCCAAATGTGCCCAAAGCTTATTCCGCCTGGACTTTTTTTCCCTAAATATCTCTAAAAAGGTCAATTTTCACTTGTTTTGCCTCAATCTTGATACAGGGTACTTATTATATGTTATAATTTGGATTCCTTATGCTTTTAGGCTACTAACCCATCATTCAAGGGTGGTTTTCACTATAAGTAATGGTTTCTATTTAGGCGGAGGTAAGAATTTACACTTTTTTACTATGTTCCATCTGAATTCACTCTGACACAGAAACATCTATATTGATTCTGACACTTCTACATCCATCTCACAGATGTAACCTTGCTTTGAGAAAAAAGATGATTAATTTAACCTTTTTAGAAGTGAAGTTATAGTCATTTGTTCTGGGCATGTCATTTTCGAGCCTGAAACCTGAAAAACAGGCTTGGGGGTCTAACAGCTTGGGGGTCTAACAGCCCAACAATAGCCACCTTTAGCTTAGCGGTGGCTACGTGAAGTCATGTGACCGTACTTTAGTTCCTTCATAGCCCAACATTAGCCGCCTTTAGCTTAGCGGTGGCTACGTGAAGTCATGTGACCGTGCTGTAGTTCGTTCATAGCCCAACATTAGCCGCCTATAGCTTAGCAGGGGTAACTTGATGTCATGTGTAAGTATCATAACGTTTGTTTGCCACAGATCTTACTTCCTAAAACAAGCCAAAATCAAACTGAATCTCATTGGCTTTTTGTCAAGGGATCCAGCGAGAAGCTAACTTCAGGGTTGGCCGACACAAATTCGTAATCCCTACAAAACCCTCTATAGGTCATATTTGATCAGAGGCCGGTTCTTT